TGCAAACCAAGTTCTTCTTTTCTTTTTCTTCAAAACCTTCAGGCTGGAGTATGTAAATCTCTTCTTCAAGATTTCCATGAAGAAAAGCTATTTTAACATCTATCTGCTCTAGATGTAAGTTCAATGTAGCACACATTGCCAAAACTACTCGAACTGTTGTTAGTCGAACCACAGGAGAAAATATTTCATTGAAATCAATACCTTCTTTTTGAGCATATCCTTTGACCAACAGTCTTGCACGATACCTCTCAACTTGATCATCACAATTTCGCTTGATTTTGAAGACCCATTTGTTACCAATTGGCTTCCTTCCTTGTGGTAGTGGCACAAGGTCCCATGTATTATTTTTATGAAGGGCTTCGATTTCTTCTTGCATCGCCATCATCCATATTGAAGAATCTGAGCTGTTTATTGCCTCCTGGTATGTTGATGGCTCACCGTCCTCTGTTAAAAGACAATATGCAATATTACCTTCTATAACATAATCTGAGTGCCAATTGGGACGTCTTCTCACACGATTTGATTGACGAGTTGTTGGAGCTTCAGAATTCTCTAGTTCTTGTTCATCTTGTGCTGGTTCTGCTTCAGAAGAATCTCCTTGTTCAACCTCTTTTTCCACATGTATCTGTGTAGTCTCTGACTTTTCAGTGCTATCATCGTCTTCTTTTCTTTGTAGCTTATCTTCTACAAAGATGACATCCCTGCTGATGATCACTTTACGGGCAGTGGAATCCCACAAGCGATACCCCTTGACTCCATTAACATACCCCAAGAATTTGCATTTCTTGGATTTTGGATCCAGCTTTGAAATTTCTTGGGAGTTGTACATCACGTATACAATACTTCCAAATACACGGAGGTTTGAATAATCAGCTGGTTTACCAGTCCACGTCTCCATTGGTGTCTTCAGCTCTATTGCAGTTGCTGGAGCTCGATTTACCAAATAACAGGCGGTATTGACTGCTTCTGCCCAGAATGATTTTTCTAGGCCTGCATCCCTCAACATTGCTCTTGTTCTTTCTAACAAGGTTTTGTTCATCCGCTCTGCCACTCCATTTTGTTGAGGAGTGTTTGCCACTGTGAACTGTCTTTTGATGCCTTTTTTCCTGCAAAAGTCATCAAATTCTTCACTTGTATATTATCCTCCATTATCTGTTCTGAAACACTTGATCTTATTTCCAGAATCAAGTTCCACTCGCGCTTTGAAGTTTTTGAAAGTTAAAAACACATCTGACTTCTTCTTAATAGGGTACACCCAACATCTCCTGGAGTAGTCATCAATAAATGAGACAAAATATTTTGCTCCGCCTAGGGATGTAACTGGTGCTTGCTATACGTCAGAGTGAACCAATTCTAGAACACTTTTGCCTCTAGAAGTTGATGTGTTGAATTTCAACCTGTGCTGCTTACTTGTTATGTAATGCTCACACAAAGGAAGTGATACCTTTATTAAGCCTGGAAGTAGCTTTTGCTCCACAAGGACTTTCATTCCTTGTTCTGACATGTGTCCAAGTTTCTGATGCCATAGCATTGCAGAATCTTAACTACATGAGGCAACAGATGCTTCTGCTTCTAGCAAAGTCTCTCCCTTCAGCATGTACAAGTTTGATGCTATCTTTTCGCCTTTCAGTACCACAAGCGCTCCACGGAATACCTTCATGATTCCTTTCCGTGTTTCAATCTTGCTTACATTATTATCCAACAATCCGTAGGATAATAAATTTTTCTTTAGGTCTTTCACGTTCCGCACATCTCGAACAACTTTAATTGTTCCATCATACATCTTCAATTTGATGGTTCCAACACCAACGATCTCTAAAGCATGATCATTGCAACTATACACAGATCCTCCTGAGACAGGTTCATAATGATGGAACCATTCTCTTCTTGAGGTCATGTGATATGTTGCTCCCGAATCAATGAGCCATATATCTGCAAATCGTTTTCTTCCTTCCACGGTGGTTGATGCTTCACAGTATAGAGCATCTCCATCATCTGAAGTGTTTGCGGTATTGCATTGTGGATTGGAGTTTTTATTTAGACTCCAACAATCCTTCTTCAAGTGACCCTTCTTTCCACAATTGTAACACTTTAAATTCTTCTTGCTCCTCGACTTCGATCTACCATATTTGTGACTGCTACTTTGGCCACGTTCTGTTGATCTCCCTCTCATCGTTGTCATCGTTGTCAATGCTTCTGCTTGTTGCAGATTTACTTGTCTGTCTTCCTTGTTCTTGCGCCAATTTTCTTCTTGTAGAATAGCAGCTGCAACGTCATCGAAGACTAGACTGGTGATATTACTATTTGTCAAGTTTATGATGAGTTGATCATACGAATCCGGTAGACTTTGAAGTAGAAGTTCAACACGTTCTTGTTCTCCTATTTTACAGCTTAAGGATGTAAGCTGAGAAAATAAAGTGTTCAGTGTATTTAAGTGCTTTGTCACTGAAGTAGATTCTGGCATACGGAGAGTGTACAATTTTCTCTTAAGGAAAATTTTATTGTGCAGCGATGTGGCCTCGTACAGTTTGGTGAGATGATCCCATAACTCCTTAGCTGTCTTCTTTTCCTCGATGCTTGACAATACTTCATCTGCTAATGCTAGATGAAAGTTTGCCATAGCATTCCCGTCCATTTCGATCCATTTGTTGTCATCTGTGAAATCCACCGGCCTTTCACTGATAGCTGCTAGACAACTGTCTTTCCTCAGGATGGCCTTCATCTTCAATTTTCACAATGAGAAATTTCTCCCATTGAATTTTTCAATATCAAATTTCGTTGCCATAATTTCTTTTACGGATAGCTCACACTATTTCACTATCGTGAATAGTTTTTTGGAACCTTCAAAGAATGGGTAATACCTTCTTACTTTCTTATGTTGGAGGATCTACCTTTTGGTGGCAACCACAAAGACAATAAGCAGATATTACACACTCAAATCTGGCTCGGATACCAATTGTTGCGGAAGACGGCTATCGGATAGAGCAAAATCGCAACTGATAATTTGAGAAAATAAAAATGAAGATAAAAGAGACACAAAATTTACGTGGAAAACCCCTGAATAATATAGGGTAAAAACAACGGGCAACGGTAGAAGAATTTCACTATGAGAAAATAAGAATTATAACTTCTCTTAATCGACCAAGGAGAAAACAATGATAATTCTCTCTTGATATAAAAGAGAAACAACTCTCAAGAAACTCTCTAAATTCTCTCTAGTATTGGAAGAAAGCTAGAATGCTTTGGGATGATTTTGAAGCTAAATGAACTAGGGTATTTATAGTTGAAGCTTAAGGATTAATTTGTAAATACCCTAAATTTTAGTGACTAGAGTTTGTAATTTGCCCATGTAAAAAATCAACAATTTCTACACCTAATATTCGGTGCCTACAATTGTTGACAAAATATATAATTTTTTCTTCAAACAATGCACTTTCGGTGCATTGATTTTCAACACTAGCATATCACGTGGATCCTGTCAGAAATCATGTTAAAGGATTATGATTTCTAAAGAGGTGTAAGGCTCTGAAGGCTCTAAATCAAAAAATGTTCTTCCAAGAGCTCAGCTGAGAATATATTCTCCAGAAATCTTGATATCCGAAGGTGGTACAACCTTTTAACAACTCTAAAATCACAATCTTTTATGGCCCCATTACCTTCCTCATACTTGGCGACACCATTGGCATCGACATTTTGGGAAGCTTCCAAGTTAAAGCTAACAAGCAAACCCAATCGAAGAAACTATTTGGATAATCATCGTTATCCTCTCTGACTTCAACCCCGACCCCAACGAACCTCTCGATACCAAGACCAACCCTAATATCACCTTCTCTCTAGTACCCAAAATTTCCATTTGGAATCAACATCTATAAATTTGGCTTTCTAGAATCCAGGATTCCCCAACTTTATTAATGGAAAGCTCAAATCTTTTTTGTTACTGGTTCGTGGCCAAACTAATGTGTTAACTCCGTCGGAGATCACTATTTGTTGAAGGCAATACCTCTCGGCTTTATGGGATCAAAATTGTTTATAACATGGCTTATTTTGATAAATAACTCAGTATTGGTTGAAACTGTCATTGATGAGGTAATGTGAATATTGGGATATCAAAATCCTTGAATGAATCTCATAAATCCATTGAAAATGGACCCAAATGCTGCAAATTTTACGGTGGAATTGGATGTCTTGAGAGGGGAGTTTTGTTAAAGGTGTAAAAGAAAAATTGGAAATGGAAACCAAGGTAGATATGAGAAATGAAAATGGACTCAATTGATTGAATATCAAAAAGAGATCTGCTAATATTCCTATCATGGTATATGGACTCGAGATGACGATGATGTGTTTTATGAATTAAATTAATATAATTCTTAAATATGGAGGATTGGATTAGTTTATTTGCTTAGAAATAAGACCAAAATGATAGATTATTCGTCAAGAGGATCGAATTTATTATTATATAAATTTTAAAAATTTACACCATCAATTTCGTTATTGATTCAATGACACCTCATCTTCACGCTCAAAATGTAAATGTCACATTCACCATGGATGAAATTCTCGTGTAAATAGGAGTGTTACGTTCATATTAAATCATATACCTCAAATTTAATTTGTTCCATTCGCTTAGCGAATTTGCAAATGCAATGATATAAATTTATGACTTTATTTATGGGATCTAATAAATATATATCTCCTTTGTCATCTGCTCTTTCCTTCGTCTTTCCCATTTTTGTGCTACAAAGATATATGAACACCTTTGTACGATTATCCATTGCTCGGAAGTTATAAGCTCGGAAACTAATACAAGCATCCGTTAAAGAATCTAATCTGATGAGGCTTCATCTAGTTATAGTTTGGGGCACTTTCCCAATACCAGACGTGTAGCACTCATGCCCGATACATATTCAAGGTGTACTCTTTAAAAAGTATAAAGATATCTTTTTGAAAAAAAAAATATACCAGTATGGGACATGCAAATCTCAGTCACTACTAAGCCAGTATGGCACAAAGGTTATTCATTTAACGTAACGGTACCTCATTCATTGGGTAGCAAAATGCCTGATTTGGTAATCAGATATGTGACTAAATTTACTTGATTATACATCATGCTTCTTCAAGTGAGGGGGGGGGGAGAGGTACAAAAATGCTTTCCTGAGCAGGTGTAGCAAAAATGACCAACTGTCTACTTCAATATGAAACTAAAACTAAGATCTGCAAACCGTGTTCGAACTATGCAGCCATGGCTACAACCTGCAGACGAATAGGCAAAACTTAACAATATGGGGTATCTCTCAAGTGCTACTAGTATCTGCAGATGCAATTCAATAATGCTGTACCTTCATGAGGAACATGCAACAAGAGGATCACATAAAACTATCACCCAGTGTGTCCCCTTGACCTTTACTCAAGACATGAGATCATCAGACATTGCAGAAGATATACAATGTGTCGTTAGAATATCTAAAGTTGCAGCCTTTGCATCCTTGGTCTGTAGGACTACAATCTGCATGGCAAAATTGAGAATCAGCCCAAACAAAAATATTAATACCTAGCACGTGAGCGTGTGAGTGAGAGGGGAGAGAGAGAGAACCTGCTGATATTCCAGGTCAAATCTCAAATATTTATCTTTGCAGCTATCAACCATCTTGGCTAAGTTCTTTAGATTCCTCACAGGTTTTCCATTGAAAGCAATAACCTAGATAGGAGTTAAAAGAAAATGTTAACATGTGTTCTTCAAACTTTTGACACAATAATTATCAGCAATGTCATAAAACGTTCTTAACCTGGGTATTGACGATTTCCTCATATCCAATATTTATGTCAGCCACAAGCACCTTAGGATGAAGAAAAAAGAATTGTTAGCAATTAGACCTATAATGCATGAATAAGAAAGAAAACAAAAGGCTAAAATACTAACTGCCCTGAACTTTACCACTTTATTTAAATAAGTCCCTCTACTTTTTTTACACCTGAATGAACTCTTGTCTTTTGATCTGTACATGAGTAAGCACTTATTTCACGTAAAAGGTTGATTTATGTCAAGGCCAGGCAATAAGTTGAAGATTTAAAGCTTATCATAGCACAAGTTAAAGGCTTAAGGGTTTATTTATGTTAAAAGGTTAAAGCCTAAAATACTAAAAAAGCCCCTGAACTTTACAAGTTAAAATTTAAGGATACGTTTAGTTCACGGAATGTAAGATTACCAATGGGAATAAAAGATTACCAGTGGGAATAAAAGATTACTAGTGGGAATAAAAGATTACAAGGGAATAGGATTACTGAGAATGTTGTATTTTGTGTTTGATTGGTTTAACAGGAATGTAAGATTACCGTGTTTGATTAAAGGAATAAAATATTATTGGAATGTATATTTGACCAAATTGTCCTTATTATATATTTGTATAATATTACAAGTTGGAAAATATTTATGTATTTTCTTTAAAAAATTTAAATTTATAAAATTTATATAATTTTTTTACAAAATTAAAAATATAAAAAATGTTTAATGAAAGGGTAAAATTTTATTTTAATCCCTGAACTTCATATAAAATTATAATTATTGATTTTTTTTTGTAAATCTAAAATAGTTTGAGGATAAATTTAGAATTTAACCTTCGTAGAATTTTTATTATTCAATGACAGAAGAAGGATATTTTTGAAAAAAAAAATTAAGGGTATTTTAGTCCAAAACGCCGGTAATGTTACAATACCTAAGGGAAGGGAGGTAATGACATTCCCAGTACTATACCCCAAAATATCTACTATTGGTAATAAAACATTACTAGGAATGACATTCTCGGCCAACCAAACGGGGGAATGTGGATTCCATTCCTGGGGAATCTCACATCACCCCATCCAAACGGCCCCTAAGGGTTTAATTAGGTATACAAAATGTATAAGGCGCATATCTAAATAAAGTAATAGAGTTTAGGAGCTTTTTTGAATATTATAGAAAAATAAATAAATTATCATGTAACACCAGACCATAAACGTATAACGTAAATATTTTTACTATTCATAAATTTTATCTTGGAAGGTAAAAACATGAGAAACGACAGACCTGTGAAACAACAACAAGCTGTTCATCTGTAGACTGTGACATTGCATGCAGATGCTTATCCAATAATTTGACTGGTGCATCAAATTCATAGTCCTTCCCATACTGTTGATGAGAGAAACAGGGAAGTTAGAAAGCATACCATACCACTCAAACAGCAAATCATAAAAGCATAATCATACAGTGGATGAGAACGAACAAGTAAGGTATGTTTTAGACAAAAAATGGGTAACTTTGGCTTTGGGGTAATAAACAAAGTGTTCTATAGATTTTAACAAATGATAAAACAAGAAAATATTTTTTATAGATAAAACATGAAAATAATTAAATATAAAGTGTTGGTTTTAAGGAATAGAACAGAAGTTTCGCAAAAATCCTCTCCAAATTCTAAGCAATAATGAGAATCTGTAGCTCGTGACAATAGACAAAGTGTTCTAAATATTAGTAAATAATAACACACAATACATACATATATGTGTATGTGTGTACAATACTAGAAACAAAGTGTAAGAAGTGCTAAGATTCTTTCCAAATTCTGAGCAATGGTTAGGACAACTCTAGATTAAACAGCTCTGGCATGTTTCACAAGGAAATGTGTATCATTCCACAAATGCAGACCTCAAACTTCACTAACGGGGCAGTGTTCCCAGCAATTTCCAATAATGCAACAAAGACAATAAACACAAAAAACTAATTAAAGAAAGAGTAATAATGCATTTTAATAATTACCAAAAATTACTAAATGTTTCTAGAATACAAAGGAAACAAGCACATATGTAGAGAGAGAGAAAGAGAGAGCAGTATGAACCTCAGAACGCAAGTATGGAACAGTTACAGCTGTAAAAACAAATCCAGCAATAATGTAGTAAGAAGGCGGTTTCCCACTGGTGTGTGCAGGGATGAGCTTCTTGTGAGTTGCAAGTTTTATGTCATATGAAAGTATCTTCGAATTACGGAGAACTTTAACTGATGCAATGTCCCCAGTATACTTCTGAGAAACAAGATAGCTGAAACCTATACGCTCCCCATGCCTGAATGGAACTGTTTTTCACCATGTCAAGGAAATATTAAACAAGAGAAAGAGTAAGGCGTGCATACATCATTCTTTGACGAATGTATGGCATACTACTAAAAATAGGGGGAGGCGGAATAACTTACCTGTTCCATCATTAGCAACTTTTACCCCATCAAAATTAAGTATAATATCAGATGGCTTCAGAAGATTAGATTCTGGAGCTGTGGGCTCAATTCTCCTAATAAGGACCCCCTTCTGATCTGCTTTCATCCCCATTGCCAAGCGCAAATCAGGATTTTCCATTTTTTGCCACTCAACACCCAGGACAGGGAAGCCTGAAATATAAATGAAAAGGTCGGGAGTTAGAATTCAAGCACAACATCAGATATCACTAAAGTCAAACCACTTTCTAATTTCAATAACAAACAAACAAAAAGAGAAGCAAAATGACTGATTTAAATAAAAGATAATTTATTGGAATAATACCTGTATACGCTCCATTCTTTTCATAATCCTGAATGAAGTGCATTATAACCGGTGTAGGTATGACATACCCAATATTTTCAGCATCTTCATGTTTCAAAGATTGGAAGGCAATACCAACACATTTTCTATTATCATTGAAGGCAGGTCCCCCAGAATTTCCAGAGTTTATAGCGGCGTCTATCTACAGAATGATATCAACATCAATAGGTTTATAAACATGTTGAACAATAGTGTCAAAATGCTAGAAGCTGGAACTATTTCACAACCTGTAGTCCTAAAAGTTCAGTTGACCCATGAACATAAGAGAGTATCTCAATACGTGATACGACGCCACTAGTAACAGAGATTGTGTCACCTCCAATTGGATAGCCCACAACAGTTACAGCATCTTGGAGTGCAGGCAAATCTCCAAAATCCACAGGTGAAACACCTTCCCAGAACTCATCATCTTCAACTGTTAACATTGCTGTAGCATCCAAGAACAAGAGAATTTATAAGTCAGAAAACACAAGCATTTCCCTTCTGGATCAATAGCCATTTTCATACAATCATATTACATAAATCAAGTTTCCCTTCGAAACACAAGGAGCTATCTTTCCTAACAAATCAGTAGCATAAATTAAGAAACCATAATGAGATGAACTATTTCCACCTTTCCAATCTAAACACTACTGCGATTTGCTCTAAACTGATAGATACTTAGGCATATTCTAAAACAAGAAAATCAATAATTTATCCTTAGCCCTTTTCATACAAGAACATCACATAACTGAACTTCAGTTACTTCACTATCCCCAGGAGCTGGAAAAGAAGCCCAAACATGTAAAAGAAAAAAAATACCATTTTCTACAATGTCACTTGATACAAATACCATTTTCTACACATTTCAATACTATTAGAACCAAACCACTTAGCTTCCTCCAAACCCTACATTACTACTTCAGAAAACATTTCAAAAAGTACCATAAAAAATGTCCCAATTTCCCTTACCAATATCACATTCAGTCCCAATAGACAAAACAGTAGCCAGATACTTGATATCAGACCCCCTTTTCTTCAACTTCACTTGAGTATAATGCTCCACAGAATGAGCATTTGTTAACACTCTTTTCCCTCCAATTATAAACCCACTACTGCTTGAAGAATACTGTCTTTTCCTCTGCCATGGCAGCGAATAATTTGGCTCCGTGTGAACGCAGAACACTTTCACCACCGCATCCATCGCGGGAACAACTCTCGCCGCCGCGCTCTCCCAATTCGCCACCGGCTGCGATGGCGGCTCCAACACCACTCCCCCATTTTGATAAGGCCTTCTTTCTGGGGAAGCAGCCACATGGGGCTCCGTATCCTCCGTGTGTCCCAACCCAGACTTCCTTTGTCGCCCTCGGCCTCGACGCTTTGGTGGCTGGTTTTCGACTTCATTTTCTGCGGCAGCGGTCGATACCAAGTTGTTTTCAGAGATAAAGCCATCATTTTGGGCGTTTTCTGCGGCGTTGGTGGCGTTTGAGTATTCTAAGTCCACGGCTTCGGTAGTTGAAGCCGGAGCTCTTGGTTTCCGGCTTCTCTTTCTAGTTTCCACCATTGAAGTTGGTATTTTAAAGGGAATCAGGGTTTTATATTAGGGTTTTCGATATGAAGATGGACAGTTTATGGTACGGGATTCTTTGCTTTCGGCTGCGTTTTGAAGCAGAGGCAGATATAGGTAGGGAAATGAAAGGGAGGAGGGAAAAAGAAACGATGAATTTGGGCCCATGTTGTGCTTTCATGGTTTGAAATACGGGCCTTTACTCTAAGGATGACAATTTAATTCAAGGTCGAAGAATTTCAATCTAATCCAATTCGATAAGATCAATTTTTTTTTAAAAAATTAAAGTTCGGACTGAGTCGGATCAAATTTTTTATAGAGGTTAGGTCGGCTCAGGTTTGGGTGGAGGGTAAAAATTTCTCAACCTGACCTGGGACTAATAGTATAATTTTTCATATAAATTTATGGATAATTACTATAATACTCCACTTTCTATAGTTTTTTTAATTATGCCTTTATTTTATATTATATTAGATTGAGTCGGGTCGTATTTATACTCTAAATAATCCGGTCAATTCATGTTCGGGTGAAGGAAATATGCTCTTATGGTCAGGTCGGATCGAGTGAAATATATATATATATATCGGGTCAAATTGTATTGACCAAAATTCGAACCTAACCCGACCCATTTCCATCCCTACTTTACTCCAATAGATAACGCTCTTGTTAGGGATGGCAGTATGACCCGAACCCAACGAGGAAACCCGAAACCCGGTCAAGTTCGGGTCGGGTCGGGTTGAATGATATCGGGTCGGGTTCAGGTTCGAGGATTTTTTTCGGGGATTTTTTCGGGTCAGGTTTGGGTTCGGGGAAAGGTATCCCCTCCCCGCCCCACCCCAATTATATATATATATATAATATTTTATATTTTTTATATTAATTATATATATAATATTTTATATTTTTTATATTAATTATATATAAAATATTTTCGGGTCGAGTTTAGTTATAATATTTTGGGTCGGGTTCGGGGACGGGGCAAAAAATCCCCGACGGGGCGCCCCGATGAAAAATCCGTCAGGGATCGGGTCGGGGTCGGGGTCAGGGATTTATTTCGAGTTCAGGGACGGGGCGAGCTTATGATAAGTCGAGTATCTAAAGGTCTTGATGCAAAAGATGAATAAGTCTAACCATGAAATATATTACTTAAATCTTTTAGCTACAACCTCCTTCACGACATTCTTATTATTAAGTTTTATTCTTTTGTACTTTTCCCTAAGAATTTTAATCTTGAAAATAAGGGAAGTAATCATTCATGTTTTTATTGGTAATTATTGATTAATTAAGTTAAATTAGAGTATGCATGTGTTTTTCCCTGGTAACCTATAACCAACCTATTTGAAATTAATATAGATTCATCTTTTGTGAATATCAGTTATCCAAATCTTGAATTAGTATATCAAGATCTGCCTTCACTAGAATCCATCTTCATATTTAATTCTTTTTACTTTAATTATTTTCTTTACTTTTTTAAATACTAATCAAACACAAGACCCCCCTTTATTTTTATTTTTTTCTTTGTTTATTAATAAAACTAATCTTTTATCACTCTTCGTGGATTCAACTCTGCTTACCATTACTACAAGTTATTTTTAAGTAGGTATTTGTATTATTTATTATTAACATAATGTCAAAATCTACTCTTTTTTTTAGTGTTTTTCTGAAAAAGTCACTTTTGTCCTATTCATTTTTAAAGCATTTTATCACTCAATGTTTCAATTTTTAGTTATAATGATTGTTTTTTGGACAAAAATCGTTAGTTAACTAACGATAAATACTAGCACACATGGTATATGTCACGTTAGCACCTAAGTACATGTGTCATATAAGTAATCAAGCACATGTGAAAATATCATGTCAGTAAAAAAGGTTAATTATTAGTTAATTAACATTTTTTATCCACATATGATCAATTTAACTAAAAATAAAACGTTGAGGTTAAAATATTTCAAAAAAAAAAAATAGAAGTCAAACAAACTATTCTCTCAAATATGAAGGGCAGATCTCGACATTTTACCATCGGTCTATGATAAAACATTTGATTTGATTTTAGTAGAGTTAATTACATTGAATAAATTAAATTTCTCTATTTATAACCAATATCAAGCATAATTCAAAATGAGAGGAAAATTTCAGACTAAAAGGAAAGTAACTAAACAAGGATTGTTGAGGCTTTGTGTGTCTTGACAAAGTTAAAATTGCATGTTTTTTGATATGCAGTGGATATTGGGTTAGTAGAGTTTTCACCTGTTCGTGAACATTTCTCGTATGAACTAGGGAATATCATAGAGACAGACATTTGGAGGGTCCATTATTACATTGATAGTATTTGCTCTTTTTTTGATATAGATTTTAGCTTTATTTTCACCTTATCGTGTTTTCGTATTAATTTAGCCATCAAAGTTGTTTAATTGTATCATTCTATACTCTACCACTAACTTAAAACCTTAAATTGATAACAATAAACTCTAAACTATAACCTCATAACATTTAAACCCTAAACCTTAACCCCTAACTTAAAACCCTCAATTTAGGACTTTATCATGGGGTGTGATATAGAATAATGTAATTGAGCAACTTCGACGACTAAATTGATACAAAAACGATAGAAACAAAAATGATAAATTGAGATTACTACATGGACAAAAGATACCCTTTTCCCTAGATTTTATAATTAGTCTATTTGTCTAGAAAACTTGAATGATGGTAATTGTAGAATCCCCTTATAGTAAATGAGCTTTTAGGTTCTATTGTTTTTTTTTAATTTGGTAGTACATGTTCAAAGATAATTCTCAATCATTCGACATTGAATTTTTATATCATTGATATTCATGATGCTTGAATCCGAAATCTCAAAGAATAATAAAAAAATCTTTTACCACTGAAGTTACTTGGTATCTATTGTTGCATCCGATGTCTTGTATGCTTGTCTTAGTTCTAACATTGACGAGGATATGTTCTAGCATGTCATGAATTTCCAGAGAAATATATGGTTCGAACATTTTATCAATTCGTTGTATTGGTTTGCATGTTAAATTGTTATAGGCAATATATTACTTGTTCACATTGCCACGTTTAGCAGTGACAATTTAATAAATCAAAAGTGACTGGGAAGATAAACAATTAGGACACTGAAACTATTGAAAATAAGGGCAGATTTCTGCAATTTGCAGATGCCATTTTTGGAGTAATGCAGGAAAGCCATTGTTTCAATCATGACGAGCCATTTGCATCCAAATCTCCCAATCCAAAGAAAGGGGACATCTTACCAAACATGCTAGAATCTCGACTGTACCCGTTTTTGGGCATATGGATGAAAAACCTATACAATAATTGTTATAAAATAATAAAATAATTGAATAACATTGATGATATTTTAATAAGTCGTGTCACTTTGTGAATAGTTTATTTTTTATTTAATGTTACATTCATTCAATTATATCCGTTAGTTTTTTAACAAATCTCTTCGTTAAAGGATCTTTAACTCTTCATCAAAAGGTCTAACATAGTAACATAATTTTGGTAAATTTTTTAAATTAGTCCCTATTTTACACATAAATCATGAATTTAGTCCTTGTACTATAATTTGGTTGATTTTAATGCCTTTAAATTTTTTAGTTTTGAAATTTTAGTCCACAATCAAGTCGTACATAGATAAATTGACTGGATTACAAGGATTTAAAACGATAATTTGGAGATTAATAATGAAATCTACAACATACGCATAATACACGGATTAGTTACAGAATTTGACTTAACAGATTTAACAAAGATAATATAAGTCAATATTGGAATTTTAAAATTTTAAAAGTACAACGATTAAAAATGAAAGTTTAACCATTCAATCATCATCAGGCTAAACTTATTCTTGTCAATTGAACAACAAAGATAAGAAAGTAGATTTTCATGTGTGCATACATAAAGGCGTTGTGTTTTGGTAAGGACGCAGAGATATAAATGCTGGGGTTTGTTTACTTCCATAATTCATCTCAGTGATAGACAATCAGCAAATGTTCTTTGTCGGCAGCTGGTCATGAACAGCACACAGCTCCCTTGTTCTTGTGGGGTTCAGTATATGCAGTTTCTTTGTTAATTACTGTTACACAGTATCTATTTTTTAGCATTATCTTAAGCTTCTGTGATATTGTAAATCTATTCGATTTTATGTCACTCCCGATATAAAAATAATAACACAATTCGTATACTAATGTCTGACACTCACTATTCGAATAAATTGATTAATCACTTGGTTTCATTCATTCTGTAAAGACCCAGATCTTAAGAAACTGGTCTTACTGACATGGTGACAATATTATACTATAATTGCAGGGTACAGCAATAGACAGGGTAGCTAATAGCTGATGAGTCACATGGGAGGGCAGCCATTCTCACATGCGAAACCATCCCAATTGTCAAATACCTATCCAAAGACCCTCCATTTTTTCCTCTTATTTATTTATTTATTACTTTTGAAATTCAAATATCTCTAATGACTTTCTATACAGATATCACTATTAGAATAATTATTTCTTTAATTGGTATTTATTTTCGATTAAGTTTTAACATAATAATTTTTATTACACATATCATGTAAGATAAAATATATCTATTAATTGCGTCTTTTAAAAGTAAAAATAAATGGACACATCTTTACCTTATGTACTATGTCTGATAAATAAGAGGCATATCTTCCCTTAGTTTTAAATATAATGAGTTTTATGCCTCCCGAAACGTCTTACAAATCTGATCTAACTTGATGATATCATTTACGAAGTCCTCCGTACCACACTTGAGGATCTCCGTTAAAACATCACATTTCACAGATAGTCAATCGCAGATGCACCCATTTCTTACAGTAACTTGTATCGACAAGACCAGTCTTAACATTCTCCACTTTCCTGAAACCAACTTCCCCTCGTCTCTATTATTCGCAGGCTCAAAACTTTTTTCCTTATTTCTTGTCTTGACCTTGACTCGACCTATACAAGTAACCTTAGGGGAAGATGGCTCGAGGTTCTCAGAAGCACAACCTCATTTATTGTCGTTTGCGGGAATATCGGTGAAGCCAAGCCGCCTTTCATGCTACCGTTGAACGAATGAGACTGAGAAT